CAAATACATCTTTTCGCCCATTTGGTGTTTCTAATGAGAATGAATTCCCTGAAAATCGCATTGCTATGCGTGTACTCACAAAATCCTTATAGTCACTTATGAAGCGTATGGTCTTTTATGTAGCTAAAACTTAATTTTCCTGGGAATTCCTCTCTTTTTTTCCTTCATCAACACAGTATAGATGTTTATGTCCCATATTAAAACTGTTGACAAACTTTTTTCAATAAAACGGTCCGCCATTGTTTACATAAAAAACTAAAAGCACTTCAATGTCACCAGTCGAATACAAACAAGTGATGTCGATGCACACTGATATCACGTAGACATGATTACCTTGTATTGTGATTAATTGGATTTAAGGCTATGCGAAATGTGAGGCCGTTTTTAATCACGGCGCTGAGATCATATCTCCCTTGTGCAGACAAGTTCTCATATTTTTTTAGTTATTTTTGTGCTGCTATGAAAAAAACTTTGCTCAAGGCAACAGGTTCAATGAACTATACACGACCTTGACTTATTCAAACTTAATGTTTTACCTCTTCTAATTGCGATGAGAGAGGGGGGCATGTCGTGTGAGAAGCATAAAAGTTCCGCCTATGGAAGTAAATAAATGTGTCAAACATTGTTCTGTTCGCATTTTCATTTTCATGATATTGATGCTATGTATTTAAACGGTACCTGCTGTCTCCCAGCTTGGCACCCAGCACGAAGGGATTGAAGCAGGGGTCTGGTAGAGTAATAACACACGTCTCTTTTTAATAGCAACATATGTCCAATTTCTGAGATGAATTACCCAGACCCCCCCCTCTCCCAAACAAAATGACTGAAGTGCTGTAGTTTGTAGGTTCAGATTGTCCTCGGTAATTCTAGGAATGTTGGAATATAAGTGCTGTTAAAGATATAGATTGTGCATAGGTATCAGACGTTCTTAACAAACGTTGGTGGCTTTTCATCATTTTGGTACAGGAATAGTTTGCTGGATTTGAATCTTGGAGGGTTCGGGTTTCGTTTTAAGTTGTCGTTTTGATATGTTGTAAATGTATTTTGGCTCTATGCTTAATCTAATCTTACCTTAATTAGGAGAATGAAATTCGTTTAAGTTCACTGCGTATTTTTAATTGTGAAATGCATGGTTTTATGATCTTTATAGTGTATTCACTGCCTTCTATATTTATTATTTCGTTTTTTTTTTTTCGTTTCTGCCCCCTCCCCCCACCCATCCCCCCCTCCTCCCAGTGAATCCTCGTAAAATGGCAAGCCTTAAAAAGTAAGTTGTTTTAGGGGCTCGCACTGGGGAGGGTTGACAAGCTCAAGAGAAAAGGCATGGTTCACTCACAGTGCTGTGTAATAAAAAACGTGCAATAATAGGTATGTAAATAAATTTTTAGCAAGGTAAAATTTATTGGGATTGCTATAATTTATGATTATCCTTTTGAATCTTTAATGTAGCTCTTAGGACTTTTGGAATGTTCACCAAATACATCTATTCGCTCATTTGGTGTTTCTAATGAGAATTAATTCCCTGCTATGCGTGTACATTGCTATGCGTGTACTCACAAAATCCTTATAGTCACTTATGAAGCGTATGGTCTTTTATGTAGCTAAAACTTAATTTTCCTGGGAATTCCTCTCTTTTTTCTTCATCAACACAGTATGGATGTTTACATGTATGTACCATATCTAAAACTGTTGACAATTTTTTTTTTGGCCATGAAACGGTCCACCATTGTTTACATAAAAAACTAAAAACACAACAATGTCACCAGTCGAATACAAACAGGTGATGTCGATGGACACTGATTTCACGTAGACACGATGACAGGCTATGCGAAATGTGAGGCCGTTTTTAATCACGGCGTTGAGATCATATCTCCCTTATGCAGACAAGTTCTCATATTTTTATAGTCGATGCGTGGCAACATTTATCTTTTAGTTATTTTTATGCTGCTATGAAAAAACTTTGCTTAGTACATCAGGTTCAATTAACTAAACACGACCAAGACTTATTCAAATTTAATGTTTTACCCCTTCTAATTGCGATGAGAGAGGGGGTGGCATGTCGTGTGAGAAGCATAAAAGCTCCGCCTGTGGAAATAAATGAATGTGACAAACTTTTTTCTGTTCGTATTTTCATTTTCATGATATTGATGCTATGTATTTAAACGGTACCTGCTGTCTCCCCGCTTGGCACCCAGCACGAAGGGATTGAAGCAGGTGTCTGGTCTGGCAGTGGTGAAATGGTACGTTTGCTAGCTCTGAGCGTGTAATACGGCAGCCGGGCTGAATCCTCCCCTGGGAGGTGAGAGCGACAGCTTATGGTGTGCAACAGGGCCAAAATGACCAGGCTTCCTTTGAATTGTGAATCAAATAAATATATGTATAACTTCAACCTCAATAAAGTTTATCAAATTTAATTGCTATTCTGTACCAAGACTCGTACAGATTCTCTAGAGAAGGGATACTGTATGTAATCTATGTGAAGGGCAATGCAGGAATGAGTGACTTTACTGGTTACTGGTCTGAGTTGGATTCCAGCTAATTGACACTGCTTGATACTGCATGGCAGTGTTACATGTATGAGGACCTCTTTTGCTTTAAAGAGTAAAAGTATCACTTGCAAAGGAGAAAATCCGATTTGAGTATGAGTAAGAAAACCTAAAAAATATAGTTAATCATATTCAGAACACTGATGTAGAGTCCAATTTCCGTTGGTAACCAAAACCTTTTTCACTAATCTTAAGATAAAGATATATTTATGTATCGATAGATACATAAAATATACAATTTCGGGAATAAATTGCCCTGTAAAGGCTTTTCTTGTGTTATCTAAACCTTCAAAAGTAGTAAGAATAAGGTACAGGTTATTTGTATGAAAAAGGCATACAGCTGATGGTAAAAGCTGCGAGTACATAAAAATCGTCGGCTCTAAAAGCGTAGAGTTTCTTTGTATAACATTAAAATGGTTGCGAGGAGGCTGGAAACTGTCTTCAAAAAAATCGTTCCAACCCCAAAGTTTCCGAATTCTGGAACAAAATCACCTGTTGGCTGAACGTACACCAGGGTGAGCTCAAGCATTCGGTGAAAGTTGGCACCAGCACATCCTCTTCCTCGACCACGACGCATGCGTGGGGAGTATCATTTTCAGCTGCTTCCAATTTAATTGAAGCCAGCGCCACCTACTGATGTTTGTTCTCATTCACTTACATGCACCAGTTACATGTACAATGACGCAGACAATCTATAATGGAGAAAACAATCAGAATTGAACAGGAAGGCGACACCGTGTGTATCAGGCAGTGGGCCCCATTTCTGGATAATTTCACATCCGTGTCACCCACTGTTCGCGAGACCTGCAGCGAAGCAATACCAACTCAAATCCCTAAAGGTAAAAAGAAGAAAATCCCAATTACATTATTAAAATATTGCATTCAAAGAATCAGTTTGCATTTTTTTATATTGATTCTCTGCTTTCCTCTTCATTTAAACAAAAATATCCATAAATTCCATACATACTCTATCATTCTGTAAATGACGGTTTTGTAAAGGAGTGATTATAATAAAACTTTAGATATTCAGAAACCAGAAACGCTTTTTAAAGGTCAATTGACTGGAAATTTTATACAAAACTGTAATACTTTTAAAACCAACATTTATAAAGTAAATAAAGATTAGAGTGAGGCCTAAAAGCTTAATTTGATATCTAACAATTGTCCTAACTTCTGACATATTTTTCAAATACGGATAATTAGTGGTTTCTCCGACCAAAAGGACCGTATTGCGTCAGGTGTCTCACCGGCCTGTGCAGCGATTGTGCTTGATGTGCCTGATACAGACATGAAGATTGATGGATGTGTGCTAGTTGACCCCTGTATTACATTAATACCCCCGTCACACTTATTCGGAATCAGCAAGAATCAAGAAGAATTAGCCTGAACGAAGAATTTTTAAAATTCGCACCACATTCGAGGAAAAAGTTCAAATTGACCTTAATTATTGTAAGAGTACCGTTGGAATACTCAGAATGCGCTTGAATTCGCCTGGAATGATTGGTGCACTTTCGGCTATATTAGCTCTCAAAAGCAGTTCGAATGTAGTGGGAAAACTAGGAATATTTATAATGCTGTAAGAAGGCAGTAAGAATATTTAGAATATACTTTGAATGGCGTACTAGTGTAGTTCAATTGCTGGCAAAATTAAAATTTCAGCTCATCCGAGGCTCATTCGAAACATTCTGGCGGGATTTTATACCCCCGTCACACTACAGGCGGAATGATTAAGAATGGCGTCTGAAATACAATTCTTTGTGCATTCCAGGATATTCGAAGAATCTCTAAAAATTCTGAGTGTATTCCAAATATTTTTACCCATTCTTGTGGCCGGCTCGAATGTTTTGCTCATGTCAAAAACTTTCGAAGTGCATTTCAAGTGGAAAATTATCGAATGGCATTTGAACAGTATTCTAACTGCACTATGACTGCATTCTAAATATTCTCACGGCATTCCAACAGCATTCGAAACATGGACATGACATGTGAGCGATACTGGGATCAGGTGCATCAGACGTCAATGATCTTTTTGCTTCTAGAAAATAAGGTTGTTGAAGCAGTCTAATATCAAAGTCAATGTGCTGTAAACAATTAATGTTAGCATTCATGTTAGCATTAGATTAGTAAAAAAGGGATATTTTAACCGTCCGAAATATATATATATATATATATATATATATATATATATATATATATATATATATATATATATATATTTTTTTTTTTTTTTTGCTCTTCTTTCAATTTTGCATTATTGTTATTATTATTTTTGTTGTTGTTGTTGCTTTTTACATGTAGTAAACTTCCTCCTTCTCTCTTCCTCCTCCTCTTTCTCTCTCTCCTCTCTCTCGCTGTATTTTAATAAGAACGTATTAAGCACGTGCACAGAACTAACCGCACCGCCACAACTAACAATACACCAGTGCTCTTTCTCACTTTTCTCTATCTCTCTACTTTTACACTCGGCAACGTACCAGTAACGATAACGGGATCTCTTACGATAGCTCGCTTGGTCGGAGAACAAGGTATTTATTGCTCTCAACCATGTTAAACTTTGCATTACTCACTATTGTATGTACTTCGTGTGCCTTTCAGTATTATTTACGACTTATTTTCATTAGTTTAGATTGTTTTCTTTGTATTTGCATTATGTTTTTATTAAAACTAGATTATTCGTTATATTTTTGTTTCTGTTACTTATTTCGTTTTAATTGTTCCAGTATTTAAGTTTGTTTTTGGAAATAAAGAGCATTAAAAACCAACCACAAACCACAATCAACCAGTCTTGAGGGTATCGACTAAGTATAGCTTAAGGTAAGTACAAGTATAGTGATTATAAACAAAGCCCTTTGTTACACCAACAGAATACTAATGGGCTTTGTGTCTAACACTTCTTTCATTCATGTACTCTGTCTTCACGTATTCTATCTTCGAATTCGTAGACGTCTTTCTGAAATGATATCTCAAAATTCTAACATCGCCAACCATAATGTAATACCTATGAAAATCAAATCAGCTGGCACTGGGTCTATTGTCAATCTACATAACAACAACAATAACAATTACATCTACAACAACAAAAACAACAATAATAACAATAAAAATGATAATAATAATAATAATGATGATAATAATAAACTGATACAAAAATCACCAAAAATTGTGACTATAAACTCAACAACGAGCAGAGCAATAGACTTGTGATTTTTTCCCAAAGTAATAAGGTTCCATTTCACTCAGATTTCCATGTGCTATTGTTTTTTTTTTTTTTTTTTTTTTAATTAAAATGTGTACAACACAAATATAACGTAAAATCTAGATTTAATGAAAACATAATGCAAATACAAGGAAAAAGCCTAAACTAATGAAAATAAAACGTACATAATACTGAATGTTACAAGAGGTAGGGGAGGCCGGGGCTAGTTGGACCCGGGGTAAGTTGGACCCCCAACAATTTATGACAAAGTAACTATGGGGTAAAAGAATTGATCACATCATTTCGTAAAGTGCCCGTATCCAATAGTGCTAAGAAAGCGTCGGCAGTGAGTCCAAAAGAAATAATTTAGTATCTTAAAGTAACTTTATAAAAAAGACTTGATGGGGGGGCCTTACCCCGGGGTCCAACTAGCCCCGGTCTCCCCTACATACGATTGTAAGAAAAGGATAGGCAGAAATGTTATAAACGTAAGAATTGTTTAGCCGAAGAAGTTTTAATGGCGTGAGGCAGAGCGTGTAATGAACACGTTGTCGTAATTATAAACATATATTGTTTTAATAAAAGACTCAATTTGAGTTGCTAATGTACATTTGAGGTAATACAGGTGACAATGCAATCAAAATTCAGTGCAAGTATATCTTGTTTTATTCAGACATTAACGATGTTGTCACATACCTTGAGCAGCCTTTCAAACAATTTTAAATCCATTTAGGAGGAAATATCCATTACACAAATCATGATATGAATTCAATCGCATTTGCATGCAATTCCAAAACTCGAGTCGCATACAGTAGGCAACTTAATGTGATGTTGTAAAGTTCAATAGAACCGCAGTGCGCACATACTGAAAATCTTTTACCTTTAGTAAGGTAAGTCTCATACCGTTGACCAATCTTTTTTATTTCTGAAATTGCTTCAGCTTTGCAAAAATTATCAAGGAATCTCTGATTATACATTCTCCAGTACATCATGGTTTATGTGGTGGGGTTCTTGGCAATTCTTACGTACATCTTGTAATAGGACACATTAAGGACTTCATTTAAGACTTCATAAATGCTTTTAATGGCTAAATACCTCTATTTAATCAATCTGAAGGCATGTTTTAGTGATAAAAACAACAAGAATGACCAACATGCTGATTTGATTCAATTATAGTCGATACAATATGAATAGCAACGTCACTTCTTATCATTAGGTTTTACGCTACGCACATGACCTCAACATACCACTACATGTATCTCTCACTCTCTCATACATCTCTTTTTGAGGAGGTAAAACATTAAAGTTAAGGTCTTGATCATATATAGATAATGTAACTAATATAGATAATGTGACTTGATGTTCTAATTGATCAAAGGTTTTCATAGCAGTTCACGATAATATTGTCAAGAAATACAGGGTTGCTAAAATAGTTGTCATGCCCTAGAATATCTGGGGCAAATGAGATCTGACCTCCACCAAGCTATTTAGCTGAAGCCATGCCAGGACCGACTGACATTGGTCTTAGGGGCCAGATAGCTTCATTTCATGTTATAGGCCTCAAGAAACCCGACTTTGCTAGGGGGTTTGGCGCTTCAAAGTGAACTGTTAAACTGCTAAAGAGGAGATCTGTGACCAAAAGTGCACCTCCTGACAAATCCACAGGTCGACTCCGTGCCACTGGCGCCCGAACTAATCTTATCATCATCAATATTTTTGCCAGAAGAACCTGCGCTAAATTTGCCATTGCCGTTGCGTCATTACTTTACAATCACAGGCTTATCATTTGCGTTGCTTTTCCCCGCCAAACTAAGAACATGAGACTCTTTTTGAATTTTCCTTTTTTACATATAGGTTGGAACTGTTTTCCAGTTACATTTTCTGAATAACCATGCTACATGTAGGAAAAAGTTAAATATTGTTGGCGATTATTCAGGCATTATGTAATAATATATAAATATTGAAAAAATATCCGAAATCGTACCCAAGTAGTAACAGTATAAGGAACTGTTGTACTAATTATCAAGTCTCTTCTCCAGCTCTGCCAGTTTGCTGTTCACCATGCAGAGTTACTATGTTGGTTTTATTCTGACCATGATGGTCGCCGGAGCGGATTCTAGTACCGGTAAGCAAGATCCTGAAATGATCAAAAAGAATAGAGTTTAAATTAATCTTATTTACATTAAATTCGCTTTTGGCATGTAATTGAAAAGAAACACTTTTAAGATGTTTTTCTTCAGCTACTAGTGGCTACATAGGCACGGTGGGGTGTTTCCATTGTAAGACATGCCATTTTCATAAATTAATAGTCTGTGCCTTTGGGTGCTTTCCCAGAGATTAAGATCGATCTAAAGATTAAGTTTTAGATCGACCTAACTCCCTGGGGGTTCACGCTAAATTGCAGTCAGCCGAGCGGGCACCATAGTTAATTACCCCCTTACAGCTTTTAGTAGGCGGGACAGACGTTTAACCCGGCCAAGCTGACAGTAATCTAGTTAGACTCCCCACAGGGATAGATCAATCTAAAAATCTATGGAAATGGGGTGTTTGACAGCCTAACCAGAACATTGTATACAAGAGAGTAATTGTGATCCAAAACTCCCACTGATTTAGACGAGTTCTAAGCACAGCTTGTATATCTTTACAGATCATATAAAATTGGGTTGCTGGGCTGACAAGGCAGACAGGGCAGTTCCCACTTTAGAGGGTACAGATCCCATCCTCGACGGAAATTATGTGACAAGAGAGGATGCTATCGAGAAATGCTGCCAAGCTGCAATGAATCGCGGGTACAAGTATTTTGTAGTGCAGAACGGTGGATGGTGTGGCTCCTCCTGTAACGCCGAGCAAACATATATGAAATATGGGCCTTCTGCCAATTGTCAATCGGATGGAGAAGGTGGACCGTGGGCCAACCAATTGTACATGATACCGTGCAGTAAGTGGTGTTTCGGTCCATTTAGAATAGGAACTAAAAAGAAGTTGTCTTGGGAAGGTATTGGCAATTGAAACCAACAGTTTCAACTGTTTGAAAGAAGCCCGGTATCCTAGCTGTTTTGGTATTTTGAAATTAATAACAACTAAAACAAAACATTGGATAAAGCCTGCATATATTTTATCTATATCTTAAACTGTTACAAAATCAGGATTGGTACAAACTTTGATCTATTTCCAAATTTAAATAACAGATCCATCGGTAAGGGTCAAGTTAGCGTGTGCTGGAAATGACAAAAATGATACAGAAAATTGGGCAATAGCAGACAATTATTTCGGACAATCCAATACTTTCCCCCTCCAGTAACCATGCAATATCCTGAAATGTTAAAAATGATGAGTTCAGGTGATATACACCGTGGAATATATCAATATATCACGCAGTTCTCTACTTTTCTCATTTACTATAAACCTGTCAGTTTCTGGTAATTTATTTAAAGAAACGTTTAGGTATTTATAAAGCAAACATATAATTTACCTCTATCACAAAAGCATCCCATATTCAAATCTGTTGCCGAAAGAAGACCAGTTGTTCAGTTTCTCTTCAAAGTTCCAGACAATTTATACACTGTCTTGAGTATGAGAATGAGAATAGGAAAGGTGATTTCGCAACACAATAAATTCATTTGCAGTTTTAGATAGGAAATACCTTAGTGTGATTAAAAATGGCTGAAACCTACGGAAAATGTTCTTTTTTCATGCAGGCATCACATTGTCACATAATTGACCCAAGATAAACTCACGATAAATGAAGTTTCAAATTCGTCTCTAATCTTAGTCACTAGAAAGTGAGTGTAATTCCGCAAGTGGTCCAAGATTTCTATTGATTTAGACATGTTCTGAGCGCAGTTTTTATCTTTACAGGACATATAAAATTGGGTTGCTGGGCTGACAAGGCAGACAGGGCAGTTCCCACTTTAGAGGGTACAGATCCCATCCTCGACGGAAATTATGTGACAAGAGAGGATCCTATCGAGAAATGCTGCCAAGCTGCAATGAATCGCGGATACAAGTATTTTGTCGTGCAGAACGGTGGATGGTGTGGCTCCTCTTGTACCGCCGAGGAAACATATATGAAATACGGGCCTTCTACCAATTGCCAATCGGATGGAGAAGGTGGACCGTGGGCCAACCAATTGTACATGATACCGAGCGGTAAGTGGTGTTTTGGACACATTTAGATTAGACGTGGGGTTTCTCTGGCTCCTACAGCAACTTTGCGAGCAGTAATAACTTTCTTCGAAGGTTTCTTTTCACTTTTAATCCTTATGTTCATTTTTTCCAACGCGCGCACATCTTGAAGAAATTCCTAAAATTGCTGTTTAATTATTTTCTTATAACGCATTGCAAATTTATACCATTATGTAAATGCTTTTGGATTAGCAGTTAAAATTCGAGACGCTACTAGAACTTAAGGGTGGACACTCCGATCGGGGTTTTGCATTTCGAACAAAACATATAAATAACGTTTCCTTTTTTATTTGTATGTCAGTTATGGGATGGTGCCTGTATCCTTGAATTTCAGAAGTATATGTCTTGTAATGTGTTTGGTCTTATACCATGGTGTGCTGCAAGATGCACACAAAAACTGCGGACTCACAATATCGATTTTCCTTTTTCAGGTTGTCATGATTAACGTCTCAGCTGGAATCCATACTGTTTGACATCCATGCCTTGCTGTGACGAGGGGGCGGGTTTCGGCAAATTTACATACTGACAACTTACTACAACCGAGAACTTTGAGGACTACCATTGCTGAATACAATTAATGGGATGTTGCATTTATGTCAACTGGGTATAAATATATAACAAGTTACTTAAATGTGCATTTCTTGTAAATGGTATTATTGACAATGCCCCTTATAAGCAGCTGGTGAAAATGCATATACGATGTGCTGGAAGATGTCGGCATTAAACTTGTTTGTGTTACTTAAATATGCATTTCTTGTAAATGTTATAGCTTATAATGTCTCTTTAAAGCGCTTGATGGCCTTGTATAATTTAGCAGCTGTTGTTCTAGTAAAATTTCGCAGTTTTAGAAACTTGTCAATAAACTGGCCTTTATCCCGCTGGAATTCAAAAAACACATAATACCAACCCAGCTGGTCAATTTAATATCGTTGTTATAAGATATGGCTTTATCCATCGAGTGTCTAAATATTAAAGATGAGAGGTAGGTATTTTGCCTGCTTTGTGAAATAAAAGTTACACCCTTGTTGGCTTTTAATATGTTGCTATTATTTGTTTCATGTTGCTTTCAATTTCAATTCAAATTACTTGAAATTATACTCGGGTATTTCCTTGATGCTGAAAAACATGCATCACAAGAGGGCGGATTTGTTTCATGTTATAAGGCTACTTTTACTCACACAGACTTCCATGTGCTATTGGTTTTAATGCATACAACACGCATAAGAATTGTTCAAAGCTGAAAAAGTTTAAATGGCGAGAGACAGAGCGTGTAATGAACGTGGATGTAATTATAAACATGTAGTGTATTGAATAAAGGACTAAATTTGAGTTGCTAATGCATTTTTGAGGTAATTACACGGGACAACGCAATAAAAATTAAGTGCCAAAAATGAGTTTTGTTTTTCAAATACATGTATAAATCTTGTTTTTTCAGACATTGACGATGTGGTCGCATGCCTTGATCAACATTTTTTACCATTTTAATTCCATTTAGGAGCAATTATCCATATGACAAATCATGAAACATCTTCAATCACGTTTTTCAGCAATCCCAAAACTAGAGTAATATAAGCACCTGTAACTCAATATGATGTTGTAAAGCCCAAAAGAACTGCAGTGCAAACATACTGAAAATCATTCACCTTTATTAAGGTAAGTCTGATGCCGTTGGCCAATCTATGTTTTTTGTTTGTTTGTTTGTTTTATTTATTTATTTATTTATTTATTTATTTATTTATTTATTTATTTATTTATTTATGTATTTTTTTTTTGCTTCACCTTTGCAAAAATTACTGAGGATTATCTGATTCTGCACTCTCCAGTACATCACGGTTTATGTGTTTTTTTTTTTTGTTTTG